CATGTAGATCACCTCTGGGCAGGGATTGAACTTACATCAGAGCAGCGGCAGCCAGCTTCACAGTGCTGCACAGTAACCTACTGTACCACCAGGGAGGGCCTAAAGTTTATTTTCTAAATCGAAGTAACATTGTTTATGAGTATAATGAGTCGGATGTATAGGTACACAACTCTGTATATGTCAGCATATATCACACCTTGCCTAGCCACACTCATAGTTCACCATAGACCCTTCACACTTTACAGCCCATCACCCATCCTCCCCTTCTGGTAGCCACAGTCAAATTTATAGGGTTTGTTTTGGTTTAGTTTTAACTGTTCTTCTTTTTTTTAATATAACATAGCTACATTTAAAGTTAGCATCATACTAATTTTTACCATATGCTTTTCTTCAATCATACTGGGTTTTATTATATTGCTAGGCTGTTATACTGCAGAAATATCCCATTCACTCTTCTTCCTCTAATGATTCAGTCATTTAATCAGTCCCTTAATCATTTTACTAGGAGGAAAATCTCTATAAGATATTTTTTTTTTAATTGAAAGCCATATGTGCATCCAGGGATTCCTCTCTACTTACTCTCAGACTGGCTAAAATATCCAGGTGTTTTCTGATCTGACCCTGATCTATCTAATCTCATGTCTAGATATTACTCAAAGTGAATCTTCTCTTATAAATATCCTTTTTACACCAATGCCTATAAGCCTTTGTTATTATTCCTACTGTCTGTAGTACCCATAATCCCATGGTTACTGTGAAACAATGAACTTTGTTTTAAACTTTTCAACAAGTCCTCTTCTTGTTCTGAATTTTTATTGCTCTTCTACTTACATCACACTACTTGTGAGCCATCTGAATTTGCTATTTCTAATCACTGTTTTATGTTATTTATCTGAGCAAATAATAGGGTTTTTTTTTTTTTTTGAGAATACAGTGATATCTTTTACTTCATCATGGACTAAATTCTTCATCTAACTCAAGGAATAGCAATGGTCAAAAGATTAAGAATTAGTGCCTTTCACAAGCTAGTATTTCATAGTTATACGAAGTTATAGTAGCCAGAATTTAACTCAAGGAAAGGGAAAGGATACATGAATTTATATAATTTGTTGTTTATAAATATATAGATTTTTACTTCTTGGTATTAAAATGTCTTATGTAGCTTCTCTCCCACACCCCACTATTCTGCTAGCCCTTTTTTGTTTTCTTTCCTTATAAGGAACACCTTACAGTGCTTCACTGCATTGTTTTGCCATTTCTCAAAATTCTTGTTAGTTTTCTCTTTCACAATTTCTTAACTATAGTTCTTTGACTTTAGATCAATCCTATGCTTTCTTTAGTCCTCAGGAAATTGAGCAGAGAACGTTTGTTTTGTAAATTGATAACATATTTATTTCTCTAACCTCTGCTACATTTTTTTTTAAAAGATTTATTTATTTATTCATATAGAACTGGGGTACAGGCCAGAGATGTGGAGGGTGAGAGGAGTCACCAGAGACAGAGTGGGGAGCAGAACAGGCAGATCGACAAAGTACACTGCTGAGGGGAGCAGTGGGTGGGTCAGGAGAGGTCTGCTGCGCCATGTGGACTCCTCCGGGGCAGGCAGGAATCAAACTCATTGCGGAAGTGGCTTAAGCTTCTCAGTGCAGTGCTTTAACCCGCTGCGCCACCAGGGAGGGCCAACCTCTGCTACATTTTTAATGTAGCTTTGCAACTTAAATGTTTCAAAAGATGTTGTCTCTTCATTGTTCCCTGATAGCTATTATTAAGCCTTCACCAGTCTTACCAATCCCCCTTCCTTGCCACTGATCAGTTTTTCTCCTAAGAAGAAACCTGACATTCCTGCTTCACTAGGAAAAATAGAGCTTTACAGGTATAAATTCCTAAATGTCCTGCAATTATGCATACAAATAATTTTTATATGTTCTATCAAAAGCCCCTTATTTTAAAACACACTGGAGAGGTATCCTGTTTCAGACTGATGATTCTCTTTCAACCTGGTGTGTTTTCTGTTTTACAATCAGGACATTGCTTCAAGTATTACTGTGTTGCATTTCTTTTGGTAACCTCTCCTCCACCTTCTGAAGGTATTCATGTATTTTTCATATAAAAGCTGAACAAGCTCATATGTACTTTAGCTCTCTGCTTCCCTTCAGAGAAAAACTCCCAAGTTTTCCATATGCATTCCCTTTCTGTTTTTTTTTTTACCCCTTACCCATTTTTGAGCAGAAATAAGGCTTATCCTTTCCATGACCTTCTCATTATCAATCTCTACTCTTTCTTGTCTTCATTTTCACAGCATTTCCTATACCCTCTCTCTTTTTCAGAATACTTTAGAATACCATTCTTTCTTGGATTTCCTTATTGTCATCTAACACTTTTTCTTTTTTTACTTTATCTGTTTGTATTCAAAAGCTTTTTACCTTTTGCACTTTTCCACATTAGTCTACCTGTTTTCTTGGGGGAGGCCAAATGTATATTTCATGGTTTTTCAAATATATATTTATGTGTATGATATTACTGAAATATTTAAACCTATACCTCTTTGCTGGAATCCATGCACACATATTCATCTCATAGGTAGCATATCTATCTGGATGCTCCAGGGCCACTTCAGTATTAAAATATAAAGGTCTGAAAGGTGTTGTTTTTCTTAACTTGAGAATTTTTTTTCATGGTCCACCTATAATCCTAAGTCATATTGATTTTGTGTCCTTAAACATTTATTTTTATCTCTGCTCTCCATTCTTTTTATTCATGAAATTTTCTAATGAGTATTTCAAGCTTTGACCTGCTTCTATTCACCTTTTATCCGGTTGGAGTTATTTTTCTACATGCATATTTCATTGTTATTTTCTGGCTTAAAGCCCTTTCATAGCATCCAAATTGCTTCTGTGATAAAGCCCAATTTCTTGCACAACTAAGTTCTCTGTGACTGTATTTACCATCCTCTAGCCACTTGTTTCTCTCACATGTCCTTCCCTTGCTCTGGTCATACACTATTTTCCATCCTCTGAATTGGATACAAACATATTAATTTAATGGTTTTGATGCCAGCAAATAATTCAGTCTTGTATAAAGTAGGTACTTAATATTTCTTGAATGGATGAATGAGTGAATAAATGATATATATATTGGAAGCTATTTGTATTCTGAAGACTTTAATTTCATTTGCTAACATGGTTCAAATATAACCTTTTGTGGTAGTGACTTTGAATTGGTAGCATTAAACTTTACTCAAAGTGTCTCTGGATGACAGATAAACATCCTGACAATCTTACATACTTGTTTTAATATGTAATTAATACTATAGATACACATTATGCTTTTCTGAATTAAAAAAACGAATAATTTTCTTCAGATATAAGTGTTAAAGGATTTTGAGAAACAAGAAAATTTATACTGTTTCAATTGTAGACTGCAATCTTGTTTAGTGTTCAGATGGGAATGAGCACATACACTATCAAGTATAATGACAAAAATAAATGTAATTGTTTACTTCTTTTTTTTCTTAAGGGAAAAAACAGAAATCTTCTTACTACTCAGGACAAGAATTACAATACATATATTTCATTCATTCACTGTGCCTCTTAGGAAGATTGTTAATCTATACACAAGGTAGAAAGCTATTTCCTGTGAAGCTGAAGAATAGAAAAGGTATGTGTAGTTGGAGAAATGAATATGTTCAGGTATGGTGAAATGTATGTATTATGGATTATTAAAACTTGGAATTTTGCTCTAACCTTTTCTAGAACATTTTCTAGTGCCATACCTTTTTAGCCTATTGATGGCTTATTCACTGTTGAAGTGCTGCTTTTTGTATAATTTCTCCCATATAGGTAGCTTTTCTTTTTCAATTGCTCTAGCCATTAATGCTTTTATTTCTACATGTCTTTCAAAAATCCTAGACGTAATGAATAACCTAGATCTTACTTGCGGAAGTGATTAGTGACTTACCATCCTTAGACATATTATTCCACGTTTACAGAATTAAACAGCAGATAAATGACTTGCTCCAAAAATTATTGCTAGTGTTTAGGGGAACAGAAATCTCAGTGAGGTATTGTAGGCCTTAATATAGATCTGCACATATTTTGTTACACTCATTTCTAAAAGACACCATTGAGAGAAGACCTTGTACACTTAGCCCGACCTGCTCCAGACTTGACCCTATATACCTTTTCCCTTTGTGTTTTGCCTCTTTTTTTTTTTTATAATAAGTTATAACTAGGAGTATGCCTATTTGTTGAATCCTGTGAGTCCTAGTGAACCTTTGAATCTTGCCCTGACATTTTTACATACCTTTAAAAATGTAAAAATCACCCCTAGCTTGCAATTTTTACAAAATTAGACCACAATGGCTGTAGTTCCCCACTCCTGTCATTAGAACCAGTCATTTTACTTAGTGAAATATTTCCTCTGTTAGGTGGATTATGAGCTCCTTCAGAAAATTATTTTATCTATTTTTTTCCCCATAGTAGCATAATTTTGAGCAGATTAGGGACTTGAGAAAGGATTTACTTTCAAGGTATAAAACACCATTTCATAGGATATTGTTCAGTTTCACAGAACTAGAAATATTAATATATATTTGATATTATTGTAGGCATTCCATGTAAGTTTATCATCCATAATTTATTTTACACTTAATATTCACTTTTGTCATTTGACCTATCAAATGTCACTTATCAATCTTAAAACCTGACAGTCTAGAAAGATGTATTCTACTGTATTAGTGGTAGGTTTGTATTCACTCTTAAATTTTATGTATGCTTTCACCAGAATCTTTTTTTTTTTTGTAAGCTTCTGCAGCAGAGGGACTGATATACTTCAGCCAGTGGAGCAGATCTAGCCCACTGCTTTGTGTAACTTATGAGTTAAGAAGTGTTTTTATTCTTTTATTCTTAAATTATTGGAAAGAATTAATATTTTGAGATGTAAAAATATATACAGTTCATATTTTATGTACATAAAGCCTACTAGATAATAGCCACAGTTTCTTTGCATATTTTCTATGGCTACATGAGTGCTATATCAACAGAGTTGATTATTTGTGACAGATAGTTTGGCCACAAAGCCTAAAATACTTACTCTGTGCTCCAGAAAGTTTGCTGACCTCTGTTTAATAGATAAATTAGTTGAATCAACAAGATGAAACTGAATTTTATTGTTCCTAATGGAACAAACTCAAGCAGCTATGATCAGAGTCACAGATAGAGCTGTGAGAATTTTTTATGGAAGATTGGTTCAACCATAAATGACCAAACTGCATCTCTCACACTACCTACTGCATCACTTGTCCTTTATCTTCTGACTTACTGTGTCTAATTTCTTCTTTTGGAGCATTTTTTTTTCTTATATTATAGCAGCCTTCTCCTTGAAAGCACCAGTCTCTATAAAAACTTTGTGTAGGAAGAAGGAAGCTCTGCTAAATTTTGCTAGTTTTAAGTATTGCTTGAAAATAATTTCTTTCTTTTTCTTTTTGAAGATTCAGTATCCCTTACAGATCTGCTTGTTTTGTTTACCCAACTTATTTATTACTCGCCAAGTTGTCCAAAGATGACATCAGGTAATTATGCTTTTATTTATTTATTTATTTATTTTAAAAAGATTTATTTATTTATGCATATAGAACTGGGGTACAGGTCAGAGATACGGAGGGTGAGAGGATTCACCAGAGACAGAGAGGGGAGCAGAACAGGCAGATCGACGAAGTACACTGCTGAGGGGAGCAGTGGGCAGGTCAGGAGAGGTTTGCCAAGCCATGTGGATCTTCCCGGGGCAGGCGGGGATCCAACACAAGCGGAAGTGGCTTAAGCTTCTTAGTGCTGTGCTTTAACCCGCTCTGCCACTAGGGAGGGCCAATTATGCTTTTATTTTAAGTAAAGAAATAGAAAACATCCAAGAATATTTAAATACTGTGTTGTCCATATGTTTTGAGTGACTGACCTAGTTTAATAAAGTTTCATAAGATGCAGTATCTATGACACATTATATAGATTATAGAAGTAAACTACGGAATTTAATTTTGTTCACTGATATTTCAGGATGTTCATAATCTATTTTTTTAAAGCAATTTTGTTGAGAATTTTCATGTTCTTTAAGATCAGGCTCTTGAAAAATAATAGTAAGGGAAGTTTGCTAGGTACTAATGTGTTTATTTTTGTTTTCCAGTGCATAAACTTTTCTGGGTATTTTGGTTAGTTTTCTTGTTTCAGCTTACATTCAAAACTTCAGTGTCTTATTTCTATGAAAACAATAAGTAAATAAATAAACCATTTCATGTTTTTCAGTAAAATGCCATTTAGTCTTTAGTTGTTGACTGAGTTTTAACATAATGTTGTATGGTAATCAACATTTAAAGAATAACATATTTCTTTGAATATCAATGAAAGTTTTCAAGAATGTCTTTAATAACAAAACACATAATTTTAGACACATGGTGTTCTCCCTGGAAATGCTGGCACAAATTCTGGGAGAAACTTAAATGAATCCAAGAAAAACCGGTTTGAGTCATAAATTAGTGAGGTAATGTATCTACCAGTTGATGTTTTTATAGGCAAGTACAATAGTCCATCAGTCCTAATAATGGCTTTCAAGCATTTCTGCCTTACAACATTTACATATAAAGTTACTAGGTTAAATAGGTCAGCTCCCCCATGCTGAATGTCCTTATGATAAAAATTTCCTTTCATAATTGTTACTATCTTCGTTTATCAACTAGTAGCTCTTTTTTTTTCCTTATTTCTGTCTACTGTGTCTAGCATATAGCACATTGTAGGTACCAAAGTAGTGATTATTAGAAGAGTGACTGATTATACTTTTATTAGTGCTATATCTCATGGCAAATTGGATTTGTTATCCGAGCTAGCTTAAAAACAAAATCACTGAACTTTATGTCAGGTATTGATTTAATGTCTTATTGTATTGTAAAATATAAGACATTGTAACAAATTCAGAATTGGTGTTACTTTCAACATTGTAGCTTCTACAGTTTTACATAGTTAATTTTTGGTTCCCTCTTTCCTCATGTAAAAACACTGCCTTGTCAGTAATTAGAAAATTAAATAATTTGAAAATGCATTTATTTATGAAACTTTAAAATGTCATATTTGATTTAATGACTGTGTCATGTGTTACATTTATATTTGTTTTTCTGTATATATTTTAAAAGAAAATCTCAAGAATGCTTATTCGTTCGTTTTATTGATGATGCAAGTACACAAGTCTCCATGAGTGTTTTCTTCTACCTAATTTTTGGCTGTAGTATTGAGAACAACAAAAATGTTTGTGAGGAGCAGAATACTTGTAAATTTGTTTCAAATTATATCCTTTCTGTCAGTGATTAATGTTAAACAGTGAATGATCGTATATTGTTTTCTTTTTGGCATTCATATTTGTCATTTACTCACTTGTTATTAACTTGAAGATATGTTAAGCTAATTGATATCCTCTTAAGTTTTAGGTTATAATTTGGTAATACATCTTTCTTTAGACATGAGTTGTATGATTTTCAAGCTGTTTGACCTTGCTGTTGAACAGTTTGCACCAGCAGTAGCTAATGAACATATCTCAACTAAGCAAAATAAACATGTGCTCAGCATAAAAAGGAGATACATTAAATATTCCAGGTTTCAAAGTTTAATATTTAAAAATATTTCTTGTTTAGCAGACAGTTATTCTCCTGCAAGTATGGTGACTGAAGTTCTATGGATCCTGTGTGATCAAAAAGAATGTGCGATTGAATGCTTATATAACAGCACTGTGATTGAGGCACTTCTTCATCCTATCCATAATTTAATGAAAGGAATTAAGGTAAGGTTAGTATTATTTACTGAAAAGTGTCTTTTAATAGGGCATTAGTGAATACACTGTAGATTTTATTGCTAAGTTTGATATATTTGAAATATCATTCTTATAGATATATTATAGATATACTGTAGATATACTATGCACTTATATAGATTTTTATTCATTTTTAAATGAGCATTACAATAAGTTGATTTATTAGTTATGACATTTGGGGTAATATGTATAACAGCTTACTTTTTTTTCCAGTCAGACTTAGATTTGCTTATTATAAGTTCTGAGAAGTCATGCTAATTAACTATTTGCCTTGCAAATGTTAAATATTGTAAAGTCTTTGTTAATTTCTTAATGAAGTTTCATAGCCTCTGGAAATATTTTCCTGAAGAAGAGCCAACCATGTTTTATATGAAACTAATATTACTTCAGAAAAAAAAAATTAGAAGCATCCCAGTGCTGAACATGTGTATCTATTTAGTTTATATAATCCCTTACATTATATAATTTAATGTGTAAAATTAAATCCAAAAGAAAATACTTAATCAAGGTCAGAAATTAATAGGTGGAAAAATTGAGACTCTCCAAGCGACAGTATCTGTCTAGTATATCCCTGCATTTCTATGACTCTCCCTCTGGGGAATGACTTGTCAGTAGGCTAAAGATTTTTGCCTCTCCAGGTCTGTGTTCTGTTGTCTTTTTATTGGTTTCATCTCCCTTTCATTCCTATCCCTCACTGGGCTGGGGAACTGCTCACCTATCCATTATTAATTGTTCATTCAGAAGGCCTGTATTAACTCTTTACGTGAATGTGATACAAAGTCTAAAATTCTGGAAAAGACATGGATACAAATGATAAATTATTTGAGTCTTTCAGTCAACTTTAGATAAAACTGAACTCATAAAATCATAAAATAGGGCCCTCCCTGGTGGCGCAGCGGGTTAAAGCACTGCACTGAGAATCTAAAGCCGCTTCCGCATGAGTTCAATTCCCGCCTGCCCCGGAGGTGACCACATGGTGTGGCAGACCTCTCCTGACCCGCCCACTGCTCCCCTCAGCAGTGTACTTCATCCATCTGCCTGTTCTGCTCACCACTCTGTCTCTGGTGAAGCCTTTCACTGCCCCTGAGCCTCTGGCCTGTACCCCAGTTCTGTATGCACAAATAAATAAATAAATCTTTAAAAAAAATCATAAAATAGTATTTAAAATTGTTTGTAAATAGTAATGTGAAATATAAATCATATTCCAGAGCTTAGAATTTCTCTTGGATTTTGTACTGTGGCTATCTTTGCTTTCATCAATTTCTTAATTTTCATTAAACATTTTCCTTTTACCTATATATATGCCCTTATGTGTCTCATAGTTGGGGTTGACCAAACTCTGGATTACCCAATGAGCATCTTTAATTTGCACCTAATCTTCTACCCATTACTTGTTGATGCAGAAGACTGCTATTGTTACCTCAGCTACGTCTCTCAGATTTTATCCATGAGGGTGTGGGCTAATAACAAGGCCCCAGAAACAACAGGAACTAGAGTAGACTTAAGGTTCCAATCAAGGAAGAAATATAATTGGTCCTATCTCTGCTCTCACAGACTATGGTTGTCCTTTGTCAGTTGTACTTAGTGAACCCTACAACTCATGACACTATCAATTGTAGGAGGATGGTATCCCTTAGGGAAGGTGGTAGTGCATTACATCCCATGTGTAGTTTAGTGAGATAGAAAGTGGGGGAAACCAGTGAGTGGGACATAATGAACAAAGTAGAAGTAGAGGAGCCACTACTTTTGTCAGTCAGAATCACATGTAAATTTTAATATAAGCAATAACCAGTTTAGGTGAAAAATCTGTACGTGTTTGCCATATCAACTGTGCTAGGAAGAATATTATGAACCATTTAATTCAGAAATATACAAATATCTTTAAAACTCATTAGCTTTCTTTTAGTTGTGGTAATATAATTTTATTAGACTGTACTACTATCCTTGAATTTTAGTCTGATATGTCAGAATGTAATAAAATTATGTGATTTGTTTTGTTACCTTTTTTATGTACAGGTTGCTCCAAATTGCTCTGAAACAGCTTTAATTCATATAGCTGATATTTTGGCAAGAATTGCATCTGTAGAAGAAGGACTTACCTTACTTCTTTATGGAGAAAATATGAGTTCTTCTGATGAAAAAAGGTATATACCTATGTTCTAAATAATTTGTGGAATTTTTAGCATATTTTCTCAATCTGTCCAAAATGGCTTGCAGTTAATAATGAAAATCTGGATAGCTATTCTAAGTATGGTCAGGTTTCTTGATCAACCATGAATAATACAGTAGCTCTTGATATCCTTAATTTTAAATTAAGACTGGAAGGGTTTACCCTATGTGGGATTTTTTTCTGCCTCCCTTGGAATTTTCTCTTTAAAATGTTTAAAGTCCTACATTGTTGATTCAAGTCAAACTACATAAAAAAACACAGAGGAAGAGCTGACTGCTTTCTAGTCTTCCTTCTCTAGCCTCATTTATTTCCATCTTCTGGTTTAATCAAAAGTAACATTTTGATGTTTGTGCTTCTGGACTTTCTTAGTGTTATTAATGGTGAATCAAACATACTACATGTTTGTGAAATTTTTATCTTTATAAAAGGGATATATATATCAATGAATTTCCTGCTAGTTTAAGAGGGGCAATTTTGAAGATCAAGAAAATAATAATTGCAGTGAATGGAAATATATAATTTACCTACAGACATATGGGTTTAAGATATACTAAAGTTCTGAAAATCAAAAGACAGACCTGTTCTATTATCCAATAATAATACTAGGTACCAATTAATTTGCATATATGTAAAAAGATGTAAGAATTTCTTAGTCTTTTGTACACGTTTGTCCATTTTCAAATAACTATTAAGTTACTGAGGGCAAGTTCTTTACTGAAGAATTTTAGTGTATAAATGCAAAATATGTAATTTGGAAATTACCATTTGGTCATTTTTAGAGAAATGGTAGAGTTAAGAAAATAATGTAATAATAAATTAGTGCTAGAACTATTAGTGAAAGAATAATGTGCAGATAGACCGATTGCCTTTTGATTTTCAGCACTTTTAAAATTCAGACAAGCAGATACACGATGAAATAAGAGAATACAGCAGCTACTAACTATGAAATTTGTCAAGAAAAAAATATAAAAATAAAATTGGAACTTAAATGTATTAAACCACTAAATCTAATTATCAGGGAGCTGAAGGAGGATGTTAGGTGACACCAATTATCCAATAAAGGCAAAGCAGTTATCCAATTAAGGAATAGATAGGCAAAGTAGCTTTTTTTCCTACAAATCAATGGCATAGTTTAAAAAAAAGTCTAGTGTGGGCCTAACTAACTAGAATAGTCTGATATACTCTGTGGACCTGTCTTACCTACAGTAAGACAGGATAATTTAGATATGGACTATCTGATAATTTACAAGTACTATCTTTTGTTAGATGAGGACTTGACATTTAAAGTATAAATCTGTATCATTTAGAGATATACACTGGGTCAAATGGTTTCTTGGGTGAGTTTCATAATATTCAGATGAAGGGAAAAGTGAGGGGAGGGCTGGTGAGGGAAGAGATTGAAACAATACTGGTGTAAGGTTAATACTGCTGAAGATGGAGGAGGGGTGCATGAAGAGTTATTATATCCTATGTAGTGCTTACTATTATTTCAGCTTTTTAAATTGTCATCATTGTTTTAAAAAGTGAAAAGAATATTAAAATTGTACTGTTCTGGAGATAGACAATCCAGATTTGAGTCCTGATTCCGCTTCATTGGCCATGTGATATTGTTCAAGTACTTCTGAAACCTTATACTTTTTTGTTATCTGTACAATTTGAAGTCTAATAAAACAACTTCATAGGTTTATTATATGGATTAAATGAGTGAATACATTTAAAATACTTAGTAAATGTTTATGTGTTAGGTATTGTGCTAAACGCTCCCTTATCTTCTATTACTATCATTAATTTCTTAAATTATCCAGGTCTTTGAGATAGAGGAATTAAGTCCTATTAATTGAATGGGGAATGTGTAACAAGGGTTATGAAGAACTCAGCCTCCCATTTTACTACAGAATCAAGAATAGTTAATATGTACTATCCCAATAACAAGGATGTAAGGAAATAAACTATTAAAAAAGGGATATTTACATATGCATTGGACTGTGGAGTCTATGAACTTCAAAATGTGTGTAGTTTTTTGTTTGTTTACTAAGTGTATATTCTTTGAGTCTACTAACACTGTTCTCACTGCTAGACAAAGCTGGGTGGGGACATGGGTAGGCGCAGAGATATTGACATGTCCAAGAAAAGCTAGGAGAAGACTAAAAGGGAGCCAAGCAAACAGATTGTAAGAAGACTAGCCGTTTTGGAAGTGCTTTATATAGTTGGAGCTACTTTTAAATATTGTCTTTTAGTCCTACAGGTGCCCATGTTATTGCGCAGTTTTCAAAAAAACTTCTTGATGAAGATACTGCTATTTTTCCTGGATCAGAAATGTTGCCTCTGGTTAAAGGAGCTTTTATTTCTGTATGTCGTCAAATATATGGTACATGTGAAGGCTTGCAGGTGTTAATTCCTTATAGTTTGCATGAATCAATAGCAAAAGCATGGAAAAAGGTAAATATTTTCTTCTTTTTTTCCTCCCTGCAAAATTTTTCTTTAAATATAGCCACTGCAGTTAAAATGTTTCTCTGTGGCAAATATGACTTCTTTTGCATCATAATATTCTAGGGAAGATATATATATATATATTTGCCATGGGATAACTTCATTACATCCTCTCCCAGTAGTACAAAGTTCTAGGACCAAACTGGGTATTAGAAAGCATTTTCTTTTAGTAGAAAGCTGTAGATAAATTACTTTTGTGTAGGCTAACATCCCTCTTTAGATGTTGTTTCTGAGCAATTTTTACAAACAGCTAAGTTTTTGTTATGGTTACTGGAGATCATAAGTTAGCAACAGTTAAATACAGTATTAGTATAGTAAGTCTTTTTCTCTATAGATTTATAGCATGAGATTTTATGAATAATACTTTTCATACATAGGAAATGTAAATCACTTTGTATTTTAGACAAGTTTGCTGTCAGAAAGAATTCCTACTCCAGTACAGGGCACAGATTCTGTTTCTTCAATAAGCCAGGAATCCCAAAACATGTAAGTACAATTAAACTACTCTGCATTTTTCATTGCTGAATTACCAAATACTAAAATTGGAAAACTCTACCTAGGGAGTTCATAGAAATTGTTTGCAAATGCCAATGACTATTTTGATTTTTCAAAATGTCTGGGGTGCATTTTAGATTTTGGCACTGAAAAATTATTTCAATGTATATACTGAATTATAATTTAGATGTCTTCATGTTTTTTTAATAAATGTCAATAAGATTTGGAGTCAGAAAAGTGGATTTTTAAACTAAGGATCAGATGAAATATGTTCTTAGATTCTCTTTTGAATCTATAGCTTGTGGCATAGTCTAAAAATGGAATTGGAGAATTTTTTTTCCTTTTAGGTTCTCTTTTAGGTAGGCGTAGTTTAACTTAGGCAATCAAGCAAAAGCCTTTGCATTTCCTTAACATTGTAATGGTTTAACAAATAGCTTTTTACTAAAAACTGATTTTTTCCTGATTTAAAACAAATTGAAATCCTTTGTTTTTAAACATAAGTTTAAACCAGCTATCACTTGTTTTTCTTTGCATGAGGGAATCAAAAAAAGACACTTCTGTAATTAATTTGTTAGCTTTAAGATATCTTTTGAAGTTTCAGTGCAAGTCCATTTTAAGTGAGTCTTTTCCCCTCTCTGTTTTTTTCTATGTCTTCTCCCAATTTCTACTTCTGTGGTTATTCCACCTTGTTCAGCAGCTAGTGGGTCTTAATATTTGCCCCCCTGTTTTTAATAAATATCAAATTGGTATTTCGAGTCTACCATCAACGTTGATGGGAATATTACAGACACAAAGAATGAGGTGAACTGATTATGTTCACACCTCTAAATGAGGTTAATTCCATATTTCATGTCTCCCTAGGCTTATGGCTTGCTAATATCTCCAGTTTTGCCACTCTCCTCACCCCAACCTCTCTTTTGCTCTCTCTCTAAATTGCTCGTTTTGGGGTGTGCTCAGACGCTTAAGTATTTAAATGAGTATATTAACTTTAATTTTCACCTCACTATATATCATTTCCTATTAGTCTAATCCAGTCATAATTTTTAGGCAAGGAGCATAGCACTGCTTTTATAGCTCATTTGTAATTCTCCTAGTCCTTTCTACCCTGCTGGAGCCAAATTTGGCTTCCTTTGCCAACACTCATCTCAAAATCAGCCTCACTTCTTTGTCCTTCTGTCTTCTTTGCCCATGGTGTGATTTGTTTTGTATTTGAACATGGTTATATCTTTGGTCATCTATGTGTTTTTTGCCACAGAGGAAAGTATGTAAAAACAATTAGTGATTGTTCCATTTTTGATCAGGAAAAGGATTTCAATTTGTTTTTAATCAGTTTCAATATATACTTCTGAAACTTTTCCAGGGGAGGGGAGAGAGGAGGGAGCAAACTTTCCATTGTGTTTCACTGTCCATATAACATTTGATTTCAACTTATTTTAATATCCATAGTGTCTTTATAGACAATTAGGACTATCTAGTAGGTAGTATTTTTTTCCCCGTTTTTACAGAATGAAGATTCATATTGCTTCTGTGTTTCCAAATTCTAGCTTTTCTGTGTTTCAAGATTGGCCTCCCCTCCCCCCAACTGAAGAACATTACTGGTCTCTAAATATTATTCTGAAAAAGAAAATGTCACCTCCAAAAGTAAAATGAATTAAAACCTGGGAAAATAAAAGAATAATATGTATGATATACATTAGCATTTCAGAAAATACAAACTTTATAGTGGAAAGGAGTATATAGAGATATGAAAGAGTTGGGGGCTTGGGGAATCCAGATATAATAGAATTATAGTGGGAAGATTGAATGAAATTAAGGCATTGATGAGAGAGCCTAGGTGTAGTAAAAATGTTTATGTATACTGTTAGTATTTAAATCATTCAGTGAAAGAAAGTTACTGGAATAGAAGTTTTAAGAGTAGAAGAATTCACAAGAGAATATAATGCCTTTTATTTACAATATTGTTATATTAAAATTATTGAAGTAACTTGGTTTATAATATTTTACAGGTTTTATCTATATAGCATTTTAATTCAACTTATGTGGATTGCTACATTATTCTCCCCACCAACAGTCTAATTACCACACCAACAGTCTAATTGCCACCCAATACCATACAGTTGACACCTTTTATCTGATTTGTCTATCTTCATCCCCTTTCTGTTCTGTGGCCTTTTTTCCCCCTCATAACCTAAGAATTGGGTTGCAAATCCTCAAATAATATATAAAGTACATATGCTGTAAATTTAATTATTAGTAGTGTTAAGATGAAATATTTTTAGTTTTGAGTATAGTAAAATCAGACCTTTTCTTTACATGTTTCAGTATGGCCTGGGAAGAGAATTTGTTAGATGATTTACTAAATTTTGCTGCCACCCCCAAAGGACTACTACTTCTTCAAAGAACAGGTGCCATCAATGAATGTGTGACATTTATGTTCAACCGATACGCAAAAAAATTACAGGTACGAATTACCATCTGCTACAGGCAAAAGGAATTTTTGTTGCTGTAAAAGCCATTAAGAACATAATTTTGTGTTTTTATGCATGAAGAGGTTTGTAAACCTCAATTAAAAACCCATATAACAATGTAATATTTAACTCAGAATTTTTTTCAGGGAAGCATTAGAGAATTGATGTTGGTATATATGGTTATGTTTACAGATCTGGAAAACAACCAGACGGATTTGAGAAATTTAGTTAATCATCTAGATGTTTTATAAATATGATGTCAAACATCTGGATGTATTGAAACTAGGTGGGACTTGGGACAGAAATCTGTTAGATTTAAATGTATGTTTCAGGGAAAGTTTAGACCTTCAATCTTAAAAAAAAAAAAGCTACTTGTGGAAGGAGTTTATTATTAAACTTTAATAAAATTTATTATTATTAAATAAATTTTACAGTATCATTTAGTCTTCTCCAATAGTCAGAGGTTACTGAGGCATATTCAGCTTTTTGCTTTCATGGTAAATATGCCTAGACTTAAACTCTTTTCAAGATAATAGACATGCTTTTAAAATGTTTTCTTCATCCCTGCAGCTGTTCGTTTCTTGATGCTATTAAGTTGCCTGATTATAAATATAAATTTATCCTTCCTTTGTTCAGTTGTCACTTCTTGGTTTTTGTTTGTCATTAATTAACTCTTTAGAGCCGTTTTGCCTCTGAAGATTATAAGTTATTTTGAGTGAGCGCCTTTACCAGTTCTTTATAAATGAAACATAAGAATATCAGTTAATGTCTTAATATTAGTTTTGCATTATATATGCAGATGTAAATTCTTTTGTTTATTTAAATGAGAATATAGTTTTTGTATGCTTCAGTTCATGGCATGCTGTCCTTATCTGCTGATGCAAGATGAGTGATTAGTTTTATTAACCTGTTATTTCTTGATTCAGACTTGAAGTTCTTTTTTGTCCTGCACGTATCTCTCAAGCCTATGCTTCTGTACCAGTATGCTTGATATGTGCACTATTCTTGAATATTTATACTTTTTTTTGTAGAATTGTTCCAGTCCCTTCAGGTTGCTATAACAAAATACTACAGATTGGATGCCTTATACAGAGCAGGGACGTACAGCTCACCATTGGAATCTGCAATTCCAAGATCATGGTGACAGCATGTTCTAGTGAGGCCTCTTTTCTAGTTCTCACACTTCTCAGTGTGCTCTCATATGGCAGAAGGGAAGAGGGAGCTTTTGAAATATTAACCAGCGCACGAATCCCATTCATAACAACTCTCTACCCAGTGACATCCTCTGCTCTCAAAGCTCCATGCATTTACTTTTCACCATTGGGGTTTAGGATTTTAACATGAACATTTGTGACACAAACAGCTAGACTATAGCAAATGTATGGTTTTGAGATTTTTCAGACTTAAAATTCACATGAGTAAAATGGTGCTTTAATTTGAATTTCTCTGCTGGTGAGTTCGAATCTCTCATTGTGTACTAGTGAGGTTTCTATTTTGTTTTCACATATTTGAAAATATTCAAGTCGTTCAGACATTTTTCTTACATTTAAATTTTTTTAATATATTCATTTACATCATCCTTCATTATTGTGCAATGTATGATTTCCCCATGAAATTCCCACAACCAATTCACCTGTGCACCATCACTATAGTCCGTTGTATTCTCCCCACTCCTGTCCTGATCCATTTTCATCCTCCTTCTTTATAGGATGTCTCTGATCTATGTAGTTGCCTGATGATTTAGATTTTTACTTTATTATAATCACTTATTTTTTTCCTAATTCCTTATTTTGTTCCTTCTGTGAGACCATTTGATATTTTTCTTTTTCTTTCTGATTTATTTCACTGAGCATAATCCCTTCTAGCTCCATCCATGTTGCCTTGAAGGGTATGAGTTTATTCTTTTTGATTGCTGAGCAATATTATATTGTGCAAATATAGCATATCTTCTTGATCCAGTCATCTATTTTTGGGCATTTGGTTGCTTCCATATTGTAAATTACATTGCAATAAATATAGGGGTGCAGGTGTCCTTTTGGATTAATATTTTTGTGTTCACTTGGTAGATTCCTAAGAGTTGAATTGTAGGGTCATATGGAAGCTCCATTTTTAGTAGTTTGAGAGACTTACACTGAGCTTTCCATCGAGGTTGGCCCAGTTTGCATTCCCACCAACAGTGCAGGAGAGTTTCTTTTTCTCCACATCCTTGCCAATATTTGTTGTTGTTAGTTTTTTAAATAAGTTCAGACATTTTTTAATTCACCTTGAAGACTATGCAAACAAAGCTCTTTTATTGGTACTCCACCTAGAACCAGATGTCACTTTTTCATCTTCATACATTTTAAAGCAATTTAGCTTTCCTTTGTGCCTCATTGATGATTGTAATAGGAGATAGTCTCCCTCAGTAACTTACATCCTTATAATTTAGAGTACTTTAATGGAACTTTGTGGTTTTCAAGACCTTTTCTTGATTTAGAATACAGTAATCTTGTAAGAATGCAATTAGATTATTTTCTTAATTTTACTGAAAAGAAAGTGTGACCCAGGCTAGTTGCATGGTGGATTTATGTGCACATGAAGTTATTGAAACATTATGCTCACAAGAAGTTACTGAAACAGTGAAACTATACATCAGATTTGTCTTTAACTTTGTCCACATAGTCTAAGTCTGAATCTTGTTCAGCTATTTGTCTGAATTTTTTTTTTTTTGCCTTTCCCTCTTCATTATTTAGTGAGACTCTCTTTTAGTTCCTATAGCAATTAATATATGAATAAGCAGGATTGGTGGGATGATTGATGAATAAGGTGTTTTTTCAGGTATTAAGGAGGAAGGCAATTGGAAAAAAGATGGACATTTATCTTCCTGTACTTTTTGTGTCCTCTAACTGCAGAACTAATGGATGTAAATTAAGGAAAATGGAAAATATGAGTAATAAAAATGGAAAAGGAAAGTAAATTTATAAAGACATGAGCAGTAGAAAATTGGAGATATTAACCTAATTCATTCCATGGTCTTTTAGTTCATCTCTAGTTACTATTTTTACCCTTAAAATTGAATGTACACTTCATGGTTAAAAATTTGAAGTAAAACGATCATTTTACTTTTAATTGCATCATTTTTTATTGAGCTCAGCACTATTGTACAACTAAGGTTATAGTTTTATACCTCTGCGGTTATGTTACCTCACTATACCCACCACTGAAGAACACACTGGAGGCCCAGTGTACTGGGCCTCCCCACTCTGATTTTCTGTCTTTCCTCACCACTTATCTGGCAACCTCAACTCTGCAGTCAGATTTCTGGGTTTTATTTTGGCTTATTTTTTTGCCTATTCTTTTGTTTCTTTATATTGCACGTGGGAGTAAAATTATTAAGTATTTTCTTCCCCTTCCAGCCTCTTTTGCTTAAGATAATCCTACTTCCTTCCATAATTGTGCCAAATGACAATGTTTTCTTCTTTTGATAGATGATGTGGCAGTTAAAACAAAGGGAATATTACTCTTCTTTATCCATTCATCTGACATTGAATGCCTAGATTGTTTCCATAGATTGGCTATTATAAATTGTGCTTGAGTGAACATAGTTCACTTTTAACATAGTTCATATATCCCTTAGAATTGTTTTATTTTATATCGAGGAGTGGAATTGCTGGATCATATGGCAGGTCTATTTTTAATATTTTGAGAAACCTCCATACTCTTTTCCAGGGGGCTGGACCCTTCTACATTCCTACCAGTAGTATGAAGGTTTCCTTTTCTCCAGCTCTCACCATCACATTTTTTCTTATTGCTATGAAACATTCTCACAGATGTGAGATGATATCTCATTGTATGTTTTTTTGTATTGATATTTTTATTTATTAAAAGTTAATGTACGCCAAACAGTTCAATTTTCAAAGCATGAAAAAATGATGGGTAGATCTCAACCTACTAAATATGTGTGTGGATTGGGCAGGGGGTGGAAATGAAGTGCATCATTGTGGTTTTCCTGATGAACATGTTTTCATGAGTTAATGGATCCTTTTAATGAAAGGCCTACTAAATACAAGTTATAGATGTTTAGTTCTGTTTAGAACTAAAAGATTTTATATGCCACACCATCTTAACCAATATTTGAGAAGGAAGAATATTTTATGACATCAATTATTTCTTTTCTCTAATTTCTGCTGAGTTTACTCACTTCTAAGCTTTATTATGATTGCATATCTGATAATTTCTTTATGAAATAGAAATTAAAGATTCCTACAGTGTCATTTAAAAACCTGTATATTAATGATAAGGATTCTTTTCCTCTGCCTCTCATTCTATGTATGTATGTTTGTATATATGTAATATAACATGTGTGTGTTCCCTTCCTCTAGAAAAAAATCACACTGCCTCTAAAATTAATTATAATTTTAAAGAAGATATACTTATTCTTTTTGAAGTTGTTTAATTATTTGAAAGCCCAGTTAAAAATACAGATTTTTTAATCAAAAGTTTATTACTAAAGAACCAACCCAAATAATAAGATAATAGAGTTTGGAGAGGGAATGGGTCTTGTTCATCTAATCAGAATCCTTTATTTTATGTAAAAAGAGACACAGACCTTCCAGAGAGATGGTTGGTTTCTTCAGTGTGAAAAGCTACTTTGCTGTAGGGCTGAGAACATAACTTAAATCAGAAATAAGATTGAAAAAATACTATATTAGCAATCATTCACGGTTAACGTTTCTGAGTTTATTTTTTTTACCACTGTTGTTACCTTGACTTAAAGGAATATATAGAATTCAAATTGAAAAGTTCCATGACTCCATCTGTAATTGTAAGTAAAATATTAGCATGATATAGCCACTGTTTCCATTATTGTTCCTTATTTATATTGACAGATCAGCAGGCATAAAAAATTTGGCTATGGTGTTTTAGTTACACAAGTAGCATCAACAGCAGCAGGTGCAAAAGCATTAAAAAATTCAGGTAAGTTTTTTTTTTTTTTAATTGGCATTACAAGCTTTTAAATACAATGATCAAGTCAATGGACAATTTAACTGGTGTTATCTCAAATATCAGAATATTTAATTTTAAAGTTCTTTTTCCAAATTATGCTTTAGGTAAAAGGAAGTTATAGAATTTCCTTTTTTGTCTGTGCTTTTTAATACTAATATTTCCCATGAAATCATACTGAGAATGGTTTTCTTTGAACTATATGCAACTTTATTCTCTTTCTTAAAATCAACAACATCTAATGCACTAAATTAAATACTTAATGTCTTTATAAGCCTCCTTCATTTCATAAATCAAAAGATTACCATTCCCTCCTTTAGTACAATTACATTTGACAACATTTTGTAAAACTCAGTTTCAGTGCTTACATCTGCATTAAAGTTCATAATCATAACAGTGATCACACACATACTTTTCTAACTCCTTTCTTTTTTTTCTGGAAAGCTTCCTTCTCACTACTCACTTAGCTTTCACCACTCTCTCTCCAGTTGGAATGTATTATCCACTAAATGGAATTTTTAAGAAATTCAAACACTAAGAATTTAATATATAACATCTTATGTCATATTTTATATAACCATTATCAGAAACCTCAAATCTTGCTACTACGATTTTATTTTTCCAATGCATATTTTAACTGAACCCAATTATGTTCGATTTCAGAGTCTCTATTAGAGGATCTTTTCTGCCTTAATGTTAATATGAATTGATATTTTATGGTTGGATGTTGTATTTTACACTTTACAACATGATTTAAATCTTCATAAAGGAATTTAATAATCAAAATCAACAATCATTTTCATCTAAATATGTAATTTCTGGCTCATGAACATTTCAAGATCAATGGAACTAAAAATTGTGTGAAATGGAGAATTTTTTTAAGTATATGGAATTACAAAAAAAAAAAAACACAAAAAAACACAAAAGCTTATGTTAGAATAAGGGAACCCACTTATATACTATTTGGTTTCTCACCCTATCTCTTGATACCTTATTCTATATACACATTTGGTTCATTTGCAGAGTGAAGTGAAACCTTATATATTTTTTTAAAAAACCTGTTCAGAGAAGTTATTAGCCAAAGGATAAAAGCTGGGACTCAAAACTCATCAGATCTCCAGGGAAATAGTCTAAACTCTGTTTTAGCCATTACATTTTTATGATGAAATATCATAAAGGCATATTAATAGTAGCAAATAATTTCTACCAAGGTTAAAGAATATTTATTACACAAGATTTAATTGTATGTCCTTTGTCAGTGTGGACAAGTCTTGTCAGGGATATGTATATCTCTTCTCCTTAAAGTAGATATATATTATACCATAATTATGATGTGAAATTATTCCCCCTAGGGTTTATTAATGCACTTATAAGTGAATTATGGGCTAATCTGGAATGTGGGAGAGATGATGTTAGAGTAACCCATCCTAGATCTACTCCAGTAGATCCAATTGATCGAAGCTGTCAAAAGGTAAGAACTTTGTCTAGTAATGTACAAATTTTAAGTACATTCCTCAGAAATTATTTTGTCCAGTTTATACTCAAAAACATAAAGCATCTTTTTGAATTTTTTTTCCTTTTCCATTTAAAAATTTTCCTTATGTAATCTCAAAACATATATAAATGTAGTAAGTAATAGGAATATCATTATCCTCTTTGAATTATTTTATTATCCTCTTTGTTTTTATCTTTTTCCTTAATTTCCTCTAATAAAGAATAATAGAAGACATTACTGTAAAAATGAACACAAAGCCCAAAACACTCAAACAAAAGTCAACCACCAAAACAAAGGAAAACAGAAATAAGTTTTCTATATCATTGAGCTAAAATCTAATAGAAAATTGTCACTATTATTTGAAGGAAGGGTAGGGAGAGGTACAATGTTATCATTTAGAGTAATATGGTGAAAAAAAAATCTGAAGTATCCATACAGTGTTCTAATATAATACATTGAATTTATTTAAAATGCACTCCAAACTTTGCTCAAATTCCTGATTGCTTTCATGGAAGCTTGAGCAGTTTCCATTCAAAGAATGTGGCAAAATTATAAAAAAATAAGTTGGAAGTTCTACTTTATATAATGGTGAATTAACTACCTCCCGTACAAAACACAAACTCAGGAAAAATCACTTAAAAATTAAGTGGTTATAGTTATAAGTATTCTGATTAAAAATGGACAGGAAGTGAGCAGTGAGAGGAGTCATTACACAGATAAAAGAATAGTATGGTTTAATATTCTGGATTTAACAAGATCTTGCCTGAAGGCAAAGCCAGTCAGTGTTCCACAGATAGAAATTCACACTTTATCAAGCTTTGAAAGTTGGAAGAGGAGGGATAGAGGGCTACAAAGCAGCAGGAACCTAGAAGATCCTGGAAAGGATCCTGGAAAGGAAAGAGGCACGAAAGGGGTGCTCCAAATTCAATATATATACACTCTCCAAAAGCATGACTATCTGCTGGATTTTTTTTAAAGATTTAATTTATTTATGCATACAAGAACTGAAGTGTAAGGCAGAGGTGTGAGGGGGTGAGAGACAGAGTGAGGAGCAGAACAGTTATAGCTGCTGAAATACACTGCTGAGGGGATCAGTGGGCGAGACAGGAGAGATTTGCTGTGCCATATGTGGACAGCTCCCTGACTGGACATCTAACTTGTGCCACCAGGGAAGTCCAATCAGATGGATTTTAAGTACCTGAACTTAGAGAGATATAATGCTCCTACACCAAGGTTAAATTTAGACTAAATTTGGAGTTTAGTCATGGTAACTGCTAAATTAATTTTCACTGTTCGAAAATATAAAGATGACAAAAGAAAGTCAATGATCATGAATTAGGTCAATAGTATACAATTTAAAGAGCAGAGAGAAAAAAAAAATAAGGGAAAAGTTGTAAATTTTTTAAGATCATATTAAAAGATTATATGTGTGGTTAGAACAGCAGAACTATAACACAATGGGGAAGAAAATAAGAGATGTAAATTAATAAATGAACTTAGTAAAGCCCAGAGAAAATATATGAAGTTGAAAATACAGAGGAAACTACACACGGCTCACTAGAGATAGACACTGCTGAAAATTAAAGAGGAAATCATAGTAGTTGCCATTGAAAAATCACATAGAAATTCACATATACAGGTCAAGATAGAAAAGCTTTTGGATAATCACATTAGAAACAGTGGAGGACAGAAGACAGTTTCATTCATGGGCTTAAAAGTAACAAGAGGGGCCTCCCTTGTGGAGCTATGGAACTGTCAGCAGTCACTGCAGTACGAGTTTGTCCCCAGGCTGGGGAGCTGACCTACAAAGAGCAGCAGACCTCTCCTGTATTACTTGCTGCTCCTCTCAACAGTGCATTTCAGTAGATTCACCTGTTCTACTCCCCATTCTGTCTCTGGTGAACCTTCCACACACCCCCACCCCCACCCCTGTGCCTCTGGCCTGCACCCCCCATTCTTGTATGTATAAATAATTTTTTTGTTTAAAAAGTAAAAACAAGAACTCCTAGTATTCTATATCCAGCAAACATATTCAGGGACGAATGTGAAGTAAAAGGTAAGGTAAAAGTTAAGAAAATATTTATAACAAACCTTAATTTCAAATAATATTAGCAGGGTTTCTTCAGGTTTTAGGAAAATACTACCAGATAGATATTTAGATTAATTAGGATGAAAATAAAAATTTCAAATAGGTAAGTGAGTATAAAACCCTATTATTTTTGACTTATTTTCTAGTAAGGAAATATGACTCTAAAAGGTAGCACTGGGATACAGTGAGATTTATTTCATACTTAGAGGTAATAATATAACACAGCAATACCATACAAGACAAGTTAGTGGTGTACTGGTCTACAAACCTATGGTTATAGGTTCTTACATTTTATATAGGTAACAAAATGATTAGTCTTAATTTATAGGAAATGTCTTCTAATTAAAATTTAAAGTAGAAAATTTTCTCAACTTTTAAAAATTAGAATTGTCAGTGTAAACAGACTTCTCATTAAAAAGAAATTGTGTATTCTAAGCTATATACTGAACAGTTTAGAAATAATGAGTCTAAGCTTAGTGTTAACTGTTACTAGTCCCAAATATAGTCTTGAAAATTGTTCCTTAGAGGGTTCTTTTTATTTTGGAATTTCTTTTGTCTTTTGAATTGTAGAAAACAAAAATGTGGCTTCAATATATAATTAATATCTGCTATTAGCAACATATTTTTTTTTGAAGATTTACTTATTTGTGCATACAGAACTGGGGTACAAGCCAGAGGCTCAGGGGCGGCGAGAGGCTTCACCAGAGTCAGTGGGGAGCAGAACAGGCTGACTGACAAAGCACACTGCTGAGGGGAGCAGCTGGAGGGTCAGGAGAGGTCTGCCGCGCCATGTGGTCATCTCCGGGGCAGGCCGGAATCGAACTCATGTGGAAGTGGCCTTAGCTTATCAGTGCTGTGCTTTAACCTGCTGCGCCACCAGGGAGGGCCCAGCAACATCTTTTAATATTTTTGTGAGAACCAATGATTATATTGTAAATTTTTGAGTTTTGAAGTACTTTCCACATCATAATTTTACAGTATGTCTGTGCCTTCTTAAAATGCTCAGTGTATGAGAAATAATTTGTTTTCCCTATATACAAGCTACTGAAATCTTTAGTTTCTTTAAAACATTCAGGTTATTTTTTGACTTTCAGGTTATTTTAATTCAAATACAATTACTGAATTGTTTTCATCTCTGTGATTGTTAGGTGGTCCCAATTGTTGTTTAAGTGAAAGTATGAGGTTCTGTAACCACTAATAATATTCTTCATATGTAAATAATTCAAAACCCCTCAATGTGGTCTTTATAAATTACATATATTAATAATATGTCTACCTGGACCATGTCAAATGTCAAAATAGGCATTTATTACAAGTTGGTTTGTAATATATTATGTTTATAATAAATAGGAAAGAGCTCTTTAAGTGTAAAAGATTTAATAACAGTATCTAAACACTTCTGAACTAATGTTAAGAATGTTGATGAAATATATATATGGTTAAATTGAAAGCATTTTTTATTTTGTACTTTTTAGCATCTTATGAAATCCATTTTGTTCATTATGTTTCTAGTTAACACCCTAGTAATTAATGAAATAATTTTATAGTAGTTTGGTAGGTGACATGAACCCTCTAATTTCTCTATAATTCCTTTTACATGTAATTAATACATATATACTTTTAGCATCCCTTCCTCAATATCACTTTTCTTTCTCTGTAGTGTATACTTCTTATATAGTGTGCTCTTTTAATAGACATTGAATAAATGTTAATTAGGTTATTAAATTTACTTTATGATTATTGTATTGCTATCTAAGTGGTATTAACTTTAAAATAAGACTGTGGATTATTTTATTCTTAGAATTATTTAGAAATTCCATTTTCATTTTTGTGGAATATTTATGGAAAAGTAGGGAAACTTTAAAAAGCTTAATGTGGACCCTCCCTGGTGGCTCAGTGGGTTAAAGCACAGTACTAAAACGCTAAAGCCACTTCAGCATGAGTTCGATCCCCACCCCAGTGGTGACCCACATGGCACAGCAGACCTCTCCTGGCCTGCCCACTGTTCCCCTCAGTAGTTTACTTCGTAGATCTGCCTGTTCTGCTCCCCACTCTGTCTCGAGAGAAGCCTCTCACTGCCGCGTACCTTTGACTTGTACCCAGTTCTGTGTGCATAAATAAATAAATGAATCTTTAAAAAAAATCTTAAAAAAAACGCTTAATGTGAGTTCTTTTTTTAGCTATAACAGCATTTGTTAAAAACTATTGTGCATGAGAAACTAAAGACAACTTCTTCTACATACCATTAAATTATGGTTATGAAAAAACATTGTTAAATATATTCACTATAACCACTGTTATTTATTAAGTAACATTGCATTTGATATAATAATGGGGAATATGAAATGAACTCATATTTTACAGGTCCTCAAGCTAGAGCTATTGAGCAAGGATGACCCTGTTAGATGTTGTTGGAAGATTATATTGGCATTTGTAGTAACCTTTGCCTGGAAATTAGAAAAAATATTATGATTTTTTTTTTTACATCGTTCTTCATGTTGTACATTTTTCATCTTAGTTGTAATCCCCATGGACTTCCCACCACCAATTCACCCATGTGCCATCACCATTGTCCCATTCCCTGAATTAACTGTTCTTCCTATTTTTCTCAGTGTTCAGATTTTAGGGAAGCTTTTTTTTTTTCTTCAGTTTGTCTGATTCTGAAATTATGAGTCTAGTGAGAGTTTTGTTTTTAAATGCCAGGCAGAAAATTTAGCATCTACAAACAAATTTAATATTGGTACAATACAAAATAAATACAACTATTGACAGAAAATAGGGCTTCTAGATTTGAATAGCAATAATTGGAAAGCCTTATAGAAAATGATGTGGCAAACTTGAAAGCTTATAAAGTGGGTTATAGAGTGAGGAGAACAGGAGGAGCAACATATAAGTTTGTGTATGTGACCATCTCTTGGAGGAGGCTTCAGGCAAATTAGACTGACTGATGCGGTTGGGGGTATTGGGAGGGAGGGTATGAGATTGAAAAGAAGAAAGGTGTGGTGATATTCAAGTAACTTGAATAGCATGCTAAGGAGTTAAGGTATGATGTTTGTGATGGACAACTAGTACATTCTTTTGGGCAGGGGAGCCAAAGAATAAAATGTGCATGCAAAAAATATTCACATTGCTTTTAATAAAACTAGGTTCGAATTTAAAAATTCCATGGAGAAAGAAACTTGATAAGATTACACTAGAATCTGAGCTGGTTTTGATAGGAAGGTCCTTGACACTTTTATTTTTTTTAAAAGATTTATTTATTTGTGCATACAGAACTGGGGTAGAGGCCAGAGGCTCAGGGGCGGCAAGAGGCTTCACCAGAGACAGAGTGGGGAGCAGAACAGGCAGATCCAAGAAGTACACTGCTGAGGGGAGCAGCGGGCGGGTCAGGAGAGGTCTGCCACGCCATGTGGTCACCTCTGGGGCAGGCAGGGATCGAACTCATGCAGAAGTGGCCCAAGCTTCTTAGTGCTGTGCTTTTAACCCGCTGTACCACCAGGGAGGGCTGATCCTTGACTCTTAAAAAAAAAAAAGTAAAATATCTATATTAGTTGTTTTCAGCGAATGTAATTAAAAGATAAAGGTAGCTTTATTACCCGAGTGTAAGACTATCTAGACTCCATCTTGCTTCTGAACCCCTATGTATTATTATTTTGTACTTTCTTACATCTTATGTCAGATACAACAATGCAAAAAACTAGGGTGATCTTTTTTCCCCTCAGAACCAAGCTTTTCAATTGTAACATTTCCAACTCTCATGTATATTGTGCCTTGTCAGTACATAGGTTATTGTTGATGCTATTTTGTATTTATGTGTATGTTCCACATTTATGTGGATTATATTGATGACCCTTCTATGGATGTATCACAAAGAAATATAAACCATTTAAATGACAGTGTTTTCTTCTTTCTCTTCTTCTCCCCCATCCCAGTCTTTTCTAGCATTGGTGAACTTGTTATCTTATCCTGCTGTTTATGAGCTAGTATGCAATCAAGATCTTCCTAATAAAGTAGAATATTCTCTTCGTGAAGTTCCAACATGTGTTATTGTAAGTAATTTTCTTTAAATTTACCTTTTTATAAATGCTACTACTTTAGACTTACAATAAAAAAAAAAGCAGTTTGACATAAGAAGGAAAACATTACTAATGGCATTTAATATTGATTTATTTATCCATGGATTATCAATTTCTGAACAATCTGTGAATCAAATCTTTAATCTAGGCCACCTAAAAGTCACAACATCTATTGGAAGGTTAACTACTCTACTCAACTAGAAAAACAAGTTTGGTATAAACAGAAGTAGGCATAGGAACAATTTGTAGATAACTTAGGATGTTATTAGTTATACTAGTGCTGTGTCTTCACTGGTCAGGTAATTCATAAATTTTAATTCAAGGAGTCCAGTACATTTTTCTGTTTATATTTTCACGAACTACGTATTACTGCCCCCTGGGGGCAGTATATACATACTTGTTTAATTTGAAATTCATATTCATATTGCTAGATGGGTAACTTATTTTTTCAGATATTTAGTTCTTCATTTTTTGTTTATGAATTAAGCATACATAGATACACGTATAAATATGTATACATGTGCATTAGTAAATCAAATTTTACTAATACTGAAAGTCTTTTAATCATCACTTTTTATTTACTGGTTGTTGTTTTTGAACACTTTTGAAATCATTTTTAACCCTAAACACTTTAATTTTCAAGTTTTAAGTTTTATTCAAACTCTTTATTTTGGGAAATTTTTGTTAATTTATATGAAGTAAAGTATATATATAAGTACTTCTATCATTAAACTTTTATTCTCTTATCTTTTCCTTGAAGTGTTCCAATTTTTTTTTTCATTATATCTTGGCATTTCTTAAGTAGCATTGTAAGTAGGCATTTATTTTGCTTGTTTTCCCTGTTACCATGTGAGTGCCTGATAGTAAGGAATTTTAGTCTCATTGATACCTATTTATGTGTTAGGTGCTCAGTGAGTGGTTATTGAAAACAGATGTTTTTCAGTTATGGAAAACAAGTACAAATGAGTTTTATTTAATCTAGAACAATAGCTCAATTGTTCATTCTTTTCAACTTTAATTGTATTATTCAGTGCATATTCGAAGCTTTCTTCCCACTTAGGGAAGGATTTGTCTATTTAATCTTACAACACTTAAACTACAAACAGTTTTGCTACTCTACTTCTCCTGAGGACATTGCATTTTAAATGTAACTCCAGGTTAAGGGAAGGTCATTTGTTCACAGTTACTTTCTTTGAAAAACCTCCATCAATCACTATATGTCAATAAATAGCCCAAACAATGTCATTGCCTCACTCCTAAATTTTTGGGCCAATTTTCCAATTGGAAATTGTGCACCCTCACATTAGCAGCCTATTTACCACAAGCCTAAAAGCATCATTCTGGAACAGGTGGGCTCTCTTTGTACCCATGTAGTTTTTAAACGGAGAGGACAACATGAAGAGGTTAAGGTTTGATCATCAAAAATCAGCACAATTAAAGAAGTCAGTAATGGTTAAAGGGTACTATAATTTAAAATGCCATTTTAAAGAGTTTTCTAATTGTTTTGAACACTGCATTACAAAACAGTTATTTTGTAGTGTGATGACATAATCTGAGTAGGTGGAACCTGTACCACTGAATCCTATGTGGTGTCATATGGCAACATTACCTGATTTAAAAAAAATATAACATAAAAATAAAAAAAGATTGAGAGGGGGGAAAAGATAACTATCTAAACCACTGAATGACCCCTGCTTGTTCCTAGAAAACTTCAATCACTTATGTCTCCCTTTTTCATTTATTTTGGAATGTGATTATCAACAATTTGTTGACCTACAGTTTTTAAAGTAAAAGATATTGTGCTATGAACACTGCCCTGCTCTGCATTTTTCTTCCAATCAATGCCTCTGAGATTTCCATAGCAGTATATAGAGATCTTCATCCTTTGTACAGATGTACTGTACGCTGTTGTATGAATGTTTCAGAGTTAATTCAGTCATCAATTGCTGGATAGTTGGGTTAAGTCTCTGCTGTTATAGATTATACCAAAATTATTAGCTTTGGCTTATATGGTATTTACCAGTGTATCTGTGTTTTTTCTACTGCTGTGCAGCAGATTGCTACAAACTTGGCAAATAAAATAGCACATATTTATTAACTCATCATTTTCTTGATTAGAATTCCAACACTGCTTGCCTGAGTTTTCTGCTCCCAGTAATGCACGGTCAAAATAAAGATGCTAGCTAGGCTGAATCCTTATTTGGACACACTGGGGAGAAGTCTACTTCCAGATTTATTTTGTTTTATTGGCAGAATTCAATTTCTCATAGCTGTAGAACTGAAGCGCTTGTTTTTTTGCTGCCATCAGCCAGACACTCTCATGTCTCCATCCTGTGGCCCACTTCATATTAGCAGTGAAGAATCTTCCTCATATCAATCCCTCTCATAGTTTGAATCTGTATTTTGTTACCAGTCAGAGAAAACTGTTTTAAATGGCTCATGTGACAAGATCAGAGCCACAATCTATATTAAAGTTAATTATTTAAGGACTGTAATTACATCTTCAAAAATATCTATATGACAATACCTATCAGCTTGAAATTTGAGAATCTTAAAGTCTTAGAATTTTGCCTCCCATGGTCTTTAGGCTACATTTCTAGAAATGGGATCATTTCGTTGATAGTGAATTCACATGTAACTATGGAATATATTACTAGATTTCAATCCAAGGGAATAATCCTTCTGCTTTCCCATCAATAAGATTTTATAGTGCCTATTTCCTGGCAGTTTCATTTAGATGATTATGTGGTCAGAGGCTTAGATATTTGTCTAACAGGAGAGAAGTGTTAATTAATATTTGACACTATTATATTTATCATTATGAACAGACTATCACTTCATAAGTTTAGTGGACATTTAGGTTTCTTAATGTTCTTTCAATTTATTTTTGCTCTTTTTCCCATTTGAATTGCTTTCTTTCTCAATTTTAAGAAATTATTTATATTTTAGTAATACCAAACCTTAACTTTTCAGAGACTTTTATTGGGTATCTACCAAAATGCTTAAGTCCATGAACAATTCTCAAATTGTACCATAATAAGTTGAAGTTGAATGACACAAAATAATCTTTCCCTTTTCCTTTAGAAACTGAAAATATTTATTTTCAATTTCTGTCACTTTCAATTATATAAGTGGCATAATAGGTAGACCCCTTTGGCTATTAGAAAAATTCAATTTAAACTAATATAGGTAAAGATTTAAATTTATTGACATACATCACCAACTTGTATGAAAATCAAGGACAACTGGAAATTGTTATGATTTTATTCAGTTTTATCTCTGTTTCCCTCATTAATTCCTCTCTAATCATTGCTCTCCAGTTTTTAACTTTATTCAAATGTGTACTTAGTATAATGGTTAAGAGTTTGTATTCTGAAACCATAGTGACTGTACAAGATTACTGGTTCTGACACTTACAAAACTGTATGACCTTGGAAAAGTTAGACCTTAGTTTTCTCCTCTGCTAAGAGGCAGTAATGTTCCTATCATATCAGCAAGGTTGTAGTGATGATTCAATTTAATATAAAAATTTAATTGCTATAAATGTCATTAATATGTGTTTTCTTCAGGTGGCATACTCTATAGGAAAAGATTTCTTACTTTTTTTAGTACTCAATTTGACTTTATTAGTAATGTATTTGAATTAGTTCCCTAGAGCTACCACAATATGCTGTCACAAACTCGGTGACTGAAAAACAACAGAACTTTGTTCTTTTTACTGTTCTGGAGTCCACAAGTCTGAAATCAAGGTGCCAACAGGGCAACGTATCTTTGCAAGGTTCCAGGCAAGAATCCTGTACATTTCTCCAATCTGCATTTCAGTACTTGTTTCTGCTCCTCTTCATATTGCTTTCTCCTCTGTCTCCTCTGTCTTAAACCACCCCTTGTCTTTCTAAGGAAGTATCACATGATTTAGGGCCCACTTAGATAATCTAGGATGATCTTCTCTCAGGAGCCTTAAATTTAATTACCTTTGCAAAGACCCTTTTTCCAAATAGAGTAATGAGCATTTGCTCTGGGGACTAGGGCATGGACATGTTTTGGAGGACGTCTCTTTTATGATTTGCTATACCACTAAATAGGAGTGTCCGTTTCCTTTGTCTTCTTGCTATAGACTTAACGTTTATATGCCCTCAGAATGCATATGTTGAAACCTAATCACCGGTGTTATATTTAGAGATTGGGCCATTTAAAAGTGACTAGTGCCTTATTAAAAATACCCCAGAAAATCCCTTATTCCTCCTTTGGTGTTAGGAGACAGACACAGACTATTCTGGATCCTTGATCTTGAACCTCCAAGCCTCCACAGTATGAGAGAAATGCACTTCATATTGTTTATAAGCCACTCAGTCTATGGTGTTCTTTTATAACTACCAATAGGAAGATACTCCTCACCTTCAAAAATCCCAAAGGACCTGAAAAGGCTAAATTTTGTTTGTTGATATTTATGAGCTAAGCAGACAGAAGCTGCTACTAATAGTGTAGTTGTAGGAATTGTGATCCTTCACCGATTATTGCCTCTTTCTTAAGTAAAAGAGATCAAATAAGACGGACTACCTCTTTGGAACAATTGTAAATTGTTTTAACCTACATATATAGAATGGGTAGTCCTTTGTTTTTCCAGTCTTCTTATTCTCTTCTATTCGATTATTGCACATCTTATTAAGTTGGACAATATTTTTAGAAAGACTGAGTTTCAGGCCACTTTTTGTTTTTGAGTACTAAGTCTTACGTGCAGTAGCTTATTGCTGGGAAGCTGCTTGATTTAGGGAATTGATTGGCTTATCGACACACCTGTAGCACTTAGAAACTGAAGTTATCCATAAGGCAGGCTCCCAGGAGTTTGGTTTTCTTTCCTAAGTGGTGATCCATCAATGTAATCTTCTTTGAAGAAGAAATTATTTACCGTAACATTGTTTTCTGAAAATGCATTATCAGTGATAGATCGCTGCAATCTACTCTTCCATTAGCTTGTTGGTAATACATTCACTTCACTGCCTTTTTTATTCTTACAATATCTAGTTGTTAAATTTCATAACTAGAGCTTTGGAATCATGAAATATCAACTAGCTATCAAATAGTCTTAGTTTAGTATTATATCAAATAGCTCTGCAAATTTCAGTCACTTACGCTAGTACTCTTCTAATGGAGAAAAATCTATCATAATTCTTTTAGAAAGTACTGTGCACAGAACTGATTGGATGTCTCTCCAAGGTAAGAGAAGGCTAGTGATAAATCAAAGCTATATTAATCTGTGAAGATTGTGGAAAATGATACATCATTTCTTAAAAATTCCAAATTAAGTAGTAAAAATATCTATTTGAAAAAGCACATAACAAATATTTCTGTGTGCTTACTGCAGTGATTACTTAATAGTATCTAGGTATTTGGGCATGCCAACGAGAGGTATGTAGCTATGGTGAAAGTGACTCAGGACTGTCAGAGTACAGAGATTAGAGAAGAAGGGTTGGGAGAGATCTGTAACAATTAATGAAATATGAATGAGTTGTGTAGCTCATTTTATGTCCTCTCATAATGTTTTAAACAAGGAGAATCCAACTAAGAAGCAGATGAAAATGCAAGATTATTTTAAGATAGTGTTTTTATTTTTCATTGTTAGTAATATTTGCTGATAATCAACTCTTGTGCTAGTATTTAAACATTTTTATAAGATCTATGGGAGGATAAATGCATTTTTTTAAATGTTGGGTATAAATTTTCACTGAGTTAATACAAAATCCAGTTTTTACTAAATTTTGATTAGTATTTTTTCAATTTTTTTTTCTTTTTTTGAGGTAGCCATTATTTTTCCCTCTTTGCAAACTCTTCACCCTGCCTCTTATTTGACCTTTATACTGTCACCCACATAGACCTTAAAAAATACTGGGTGACTTTACCAGGCAAAATTGTCCTCCTTTTGCCCTTTGATCACAGAAATATCTTGACTTTCTAGAGAATAGCAAGTTTTTTGGCAAAGCAAATGAGCAATGAGAGAGACAAATATTTACAATGAGAAAATTTTTTAGACCTAGACCCAAAGCTAAATGCAAAAACATTTATAGAAGGAAAAGTTTTCAGAGAGCGCTGAAAATTGGTGGTAGGTTTAAGTTGTCAGTGCATGAACCTAGGAAAACAGCCATCATCAGGTTCTTTCTGTATCTCTATCAGTGATTTTTAAGCCTGGTTACACATTGCAAAAACTTGAAGAGCTTTTCAAAAGAAATTAATGCTGGGGTTATGCTAGCAGAGATGGTGACTTAATTGGTCTAGATAGAGCCTTGGCATCTCAATATATCTTTAAAGTTCTGTAGGTGATTCTACTGTTCAACAAGTTTGAAAAACACAGATTTACTGAACAAGAAAATCGATTAATAGAATCTCAAGCATTGAATAATTACTAGATAAAAATATTCAAACCCACTGGTTATGCTTCATAATTGTAGATTTCCTATTTATTTATAGAAATAGTTTATACATTTTAGTAGTTTAATCAGCACTTAACTGGCTTCATGAGCTGTTCACACAGGTTCAGAGTAGGGTGTAAATTAGTGATTCTTTACTTTGGGTAAATGTTAAATGTTTAATATCATCTGGTCACAATCAGACCTATTCAATTCAGAATCTATAGGGTTGTGAATTAGGCACTCAATATTCTTTAAAATTCTTCTTTTTTGGTCCTTTTGGTATAATTAAAATGTAAAGCCAAGTTTGAGAACAGCAAATACAAATTTTTTTTTTTTAATTTGGTCTTACAGAAATGGTATCAGTCAGGCATACTCTCAGTCTGATTCTTGTTTTCTCAGGATATTATTGACAGACTTATAATTTTGAATTCTGAAGCTAAGATTCATTCTTTATTCAACTATGAACAGTCACACATCTTTGGTTTAAGGTAAGGTACTAAATTTTACTTGATGCTCTTTGCTGCAACAATAGTTATGATCTTTACTTTCAAAAAGACTTTAAGTTCATTTTAAAAATGTCCACTTAAAGGTAATTTATTGTCCTTTCAACATTTTATACTATTTTATGTTCTATATTATGGCATTTAATTTCTGTATTAGAGCATCTTCCAATTTTGTTTAATTTGTTAGTGGTATTTTGTGGACTGTTCAGTTTACTCTGGAGTAAATTGGAGTTTCCCTCTGTAGATTTTTGATTATATATCTGCCAAAATATTGTCCTGAAAGAGGCCTAAACATTTATGGTTTATCTTGAAACCAAATTTTTCTCCTTGATGTTAATCATTACTCTTTAGCTTTTGCAGGAATTTTTTTTCTATTTGAATTTAGATTCCTGAATATTCAAATGATGGGGGGAGAAGGGAAATAAAGGTGCTTGGACTGCAGAGACTCAGAATTTTTAGTCATATAGATTAAAGACCCTACTTAGACATGTAACACCCTATCTTTAAATTGCTATCTTTGAAAGTACCTGAATTAATTACATTTTCCATAGATTTGTGATTTTCTCTTTCTACTACCGAATTATGCTTTAGTCATAAATGGGGATCAGTGAGAATGTTCTACCTAGGAAATATGGCAATTATTTTTCTAAAATTTGAATTCTCTGGTATAGTATAGCTTATAGAATACACAAATATTTTAGCCATTTACTAATAGCTGAAGTTCACTTCAGACTTTCTAGATCAAAAAAGGTAAGTAAAAAGCTGTAGCTATTAAAGTTGTTTGGGTAGTGTGCCTTTTTTCCAAAATGGATTTTCACATTAAATTTTAACTTTCAGGGTATAGTATGAGATAAATCCTATCATGCAGTATTGAAGAGTGCTAGAAATAATCCATTCAGCAGAACTTTCTTTACATAGTTTGAGTCACAATTACAAAATGTAGATTTGGCCTTTGTTTTTGATACTTTGAATAATTTTTTTTTTCTGTGAGTTTTCTTTTCTGTAAGAGTATTTTTAGTAGCATTCTTTTGGCAAAATTTTAAGTGAAATTTTATTAAGACATGTAAGAAGCAATCCAAGAAAAAAATGTTCCTGGAAAACATACTACTTTCCTAGAATGTCCATATGAAGTCATTTTATGCTACACTAAGAAATTTGCCATTGCCAGTGTCTGCCATACATTTGCCATGCAGAGCAGTGCAGTATAGTAGTTAGCTGCAAGGACTGCTTGCTATTTACAAGTTTTGTGAAGTGGAATATGGGTTTCTATATATAAAAGGGAGAATAATTATATTATATCCCTCAAAGAGTTATGAGAATTAAATGTGAAAAATTAAAGGGCTTACAACAGTGTGTAACCCATAATAAGCCCTATAAAAGTGTCAGTTATGGCTGTATTGATAATTCAAGTGCTTCTATGCTGTTTGTGTTTTACTGTGAAATGAATTTTGTCTTCATTTTCAGTTATCCAGTAGTTTTCACATGCTGCCAAGTATTTTGTGGTTTAGAGTGTCATCATTCAGACAAGTGACAAAATCACTTTATGAGGAAAAAGTATTTTGATTTTATCGTCTTTTAACAAGTTTTTTTTTGACAAGAAGTTTATTTCATTGTATTTGAAGTTCATTCTTATAACACTATTCAATTAAGTTATGCTTCTGAAGCTAGATAATATACTTTTAATTTGCTGATAGTTTCAGGCTACCAGTGGTTTTTAACTAATTTATATCATAGCTACATATTTTATAAATCTCATATTTCTGTGTCTTTTGGATTCTACTTGTGTCTTTTTCTCTCATTCTGAGTGTCTTGCTTATTTCTCGTCGTACATTCTTTGCACCATTTTCTTCAGGAGATCATCCCATTAATGTGTTTGATATCTAAATTTCACATTGTTTTATTCACTTTGTTTTTCCCTCTGCTTTAAAGATCTAGAAGGAGCATGAGTACGTTTGATCCAAGCCCTGTAGGTGTGACTCAATACTTAGATGTGGTTACTCTGAGGCTTAGTGAAGTGTGTATTTTCGCTTTCCAGTTGCATCACATTCTATTAAAACTTCCTAATATTTGATTGCCAAATGTATTTTTATAGATCTTACAGTGCACAACTGATTTACAAGAAGTCTGGTACTTTGGCTAACCCTATCCTCATTGTTTCTGTCCTTTCTACTACTGTCATTGGCCTACAGACATGGCTTTCTATGTACAATTTACAAGGAAACAAAAAACTTACAAATAGCTGCCATTCTAGTTCTCTACTACAGCAAATGTATCTAAAAGCTATTCACTTGCTTACCTCCCTTGACATCACAGTCTACTTAGTTTTGATGTTGATGTGTAAGAACTACACATTCTGTTCATCTTCTATGTAGTAGAATTTTAGTTCACATATTACTATTAGCTATCAGTAGTACTTCAGAGGGTGGACCATCTCTTTGTGTGTGCAAATCCTCTTCCTTTTCTTCTCCGACACCACACAGTTCTAAAACTGGCGTTTCTCTGCTTTTGCATTTTCTAAGAAATCTCTGTATGTTGGAATACTCAGGATTTGATCCTGAGCCTACTAATTTTCTATGCACTCTGTGTCTAGTTTTCTATTTACATTTTTGCTTGACATCTCTAGCCTGTGCTATTATTTTGAGTACCATGTTCATACATGCAAATGACATCTCAATTTAGACGTTTTTCAAACTTCATTTCTTAACTTGTCTTAAAGTCTTGCATCTCCTCCCATAAAAACATATCCTCCATTTCCATCTCATTAAGTGATCCAATCATCTGTTAAGTTCCTTATGCCTAGGAATTATCTTAAATTTTTTTCTTTTCTTTTAAACACAATTTATCTTAATTAACCTATGCAGGGAGTTACATATAATAGAGATTCTACCTAATTCTGAAAATGAAGTAACACTCAGGAAAATCATTCTGGACATGTTCTATGCATGATAGTAGAAGAAATACATATTATTCCTTATGAAAATGATAGCATAATATAGTTTGCCTTCAATATGCTATTTTTTCTCTCTCTATAGTAGTTATTTCCTCAGAAATTAATGTTAAGAAAGACTAAATGTTAAGAAAGACTAAAACCTATCAAGTGGTTTGAACATTATACTTTATTTTTAAACCTTAATGCCCCTTAACTATGATGTTAAGGACATTAGTGCTGTAATTGGCCTCCTACCTGACCTGTCTCCATTGTGTTTAAAGGGTATTTTCTTGCTATTTCCTACTCTTCTTTTGAGTCAGAAATCTTATTTTCCTATCTAATGAAAAGGGAGAGAGCAGGGCTCTTGGTATAATAACATAAGATATGCAGTGCCTTTTATATATTACTGCAGAATATAATACACACACACACACACATTTATTTAATTTACTCTTCTCTTTTACCTAGCCAATATTTATTGAGAACTTATTATGTTCTATGCTAGATATAAGGGTTGTAATAATGAGTAATTAAGATATGGTACTCATTCTCTTTATCTTCATCACCTAGTGAGGAATTAGATAGTAAAATAATAAAAAAAGAAAGGGAATTAGGCCCTCCCTGGTGGCGTAAGGAGTTAAAGCACAGTACTGAGAAGCTAACTCCACTTCTGCCTGCCCTGGAGGTGACCACCTGGCGTGGCAGACCTCTCCTGACCCGCCAGCTGCTCCCCTCAGCAGTGTACTTTGTAGATATGCCTGTTCTGCTCCCTGCTCTGTCTCTGGTGAAGCCTCTCGCCGCCCCTGAGTCTCTGGCCTGTACCCCAGTTCTATATACACAAATAAATAAATCTTAAAAAAAGAAAGTCAATTAATGCAGGGCAAAACACATTCTTTATAAAGCTCCCTACCTTCCCATTTTAAATAATCAGCAATTCCAGATTCCTTTGTGTGGGGTTCAAGGAGCTACATATATATATATATGTATATACACACACATACACACACATATATGTATATATGTATGTATCACCATCTTTCCTCTATACATTATTTTCTACCTTTCCTCAGCCTGAACTAATGTGATGGTTTGATAAGAAATCTTATTTCCCTGAAGCACTATTGGCTTTTGCCTCTGTCTCTTATGTCTTAAATGTTACTGTCTCTTTTATTCCTCATATACAAATTTGAGTTTAGGGCAAAGCTTGCTTTATGTATTATTTCCTCCACAACTTAACATAGGATTTTGTTTTCACCTACACATACTTAACTTTTTGTCATTCACACAATTTAATATTTTATTTAGTTCTTCTCCTGAAAAAAACTTAAACTTCCTGAGTTATCTCATTTTCTCTTATTTTTATGTCTACCACATTACAGTATTATCTTTTTTAATTTGGTTAACATTATTTGCTAAAACTATTGGTTGATCAAAACAATTGCCTAGAAACCTTTAAGTTTTAAAGGAAAGTTATACTTACTCCTAAGACATTTTATTTGAATATAAAAATGATATATTTCATGGAGAATCATCTCTTCATTATTAATAGCTTTCTTTATGTCAAATTACAAAAAAAATTTAGAATATAGAATTGTTTATTTTTAATGTAATGACTCAATTAAACATATATATTAAAATTTAATGTGCTAGGCAAATTTTAATATAATTCTCCTAAAATATTTTCTATCTTCATTTGAAACTCTTATGTGACCTATTTATTGTTAATTTCTTCAAAACAAAACCCCAGAATTTATATTTACAGAATAGTCTTTAAAATTAGTGACCTGTTGTTTCAGGTATTATACATTATCTGTAACAGTAAATTTTATACACAGTATAGTGAAATTTTGTGCATAACTGTCTTTTTGTAAAAGTCTTTTAAGATAATTTTAAGAGGAAAAGTAAAAAAGAACATATAGTTGTTTAAAAAATGTTCACTTTAGAAATAGTTCTTATTTTTCAAAATAATAGAAAAATATTAATAACCTTTTATAACATATCATCTATTTTCTATTCCCATTTACCCAAATGCTAACTAGACTTAAATCTGATTAAT